AACAACAGTAAAGAATAAAATAGCATAAATACTATAAAAAGAAAGGAAATTGTGTCAATTTTTGAAAATTACCAGAGCAACAATTTGAAAAAAAGCTGAAGTTAATCCCGCGCTTTAATTCTGAATTTTGAAAAAGATCCAATGCAACTTATGCTCTCCTAATACAAATGTTGAAATTTATGAAAATTTTCGGTTTTGAGCCACATACGAGGGTTAATTAAAAAGTAATGGAAAAATCAAAAATTTGGTTGTTCCATAACTTTCTGACCAGCCCTCGTATATGACGCAAAATTGAAAATTTTGTTAAATCTGAAAATTTGTATTAGGAGAGCATAAGTCGCGAGAGGTCTTTTTCAATTTCAAATAACAATTTTTGATTTTCCATTACTTTCTGACTAACCCTCGTATTTGGCGCAAAACCGAAAATTTTCATAAATTTCAACATTTGTATTAGGAGAGCATAAGTCGCAAGAGGTCTTTTTCAAAGTACCAATTTTTATCGCGTAAAACGAAAAACAAGGCTGCTATATAGTTGATCCCGCGCTAAAAATTGGTACTTTGAAAAAGACCTCTTGCGACTTATGCTCTCCTAATACAAATTTTCAGATTTAACAAAATTTTCAATTTTGCGTCATATACGAGGGCTGGTCAGAAAGTTATGGAACAACCAAATTTTTGATTTTTCCATTACTTTTTAATTAACCCTCGTATGTGGCTCAAAACCGAAAATTTTCATAAATTTCAACATTTGTATTAGGAGAGCATAAGTTGCATTGGGTCTTTTTCCAAGTTCGGAAAAATANAAAGAATAAATATTAAATTAAAATTTCATTAATTTTATATTTAAGTATACAAGCCGAATTAATTATATCGAAAGAATATTCATTTACAATTTAAATACAACTACTTTTAACTGTTATGGAGACATTTTCTTTACGTACAGGTTTGATAACCACTTCCAATATTAGATGTTTTAAGTTTATCTATGGTTTTAGGTTAAATATTATACCGGTAAGTGTTGTGTAAAAAGTGTTTGTTTTATTATATTAATTTAGTGTTAAGTGTATAAAAACTGTATAATCATGCCTGCTTGGGATTCTTTCGAGTGCCTTAACTGTGATACATTTTATAACATCAAAGTTAAAGACGATTTGAATCGCATATTTTACTCCAATGGCTTGTTTGATGTGCAACTCATTCAATTGAAAAACACAAAATGTTATAACAATTTACTTTACCTTGAAGTCGAGCTTTTTATGAAACTAGTTGTTAAAGCATGGAAACAGATCGAAGAGGTGATTTTTTCGGACTACATTTCCCCAGTGTCTCAAACTATGAACTTGCGCGGAGAAATAGTAAACATACTGTTAAGTTTTCAAGAATGTTTGCTCATAAACAGATATGAAAACAATTTTTTGGAAATACAAGACCAACTTTACAAATCGCTTAATTTAATTAAAAAGTCTGTATTTCCTATTCACAAACTAAATGAAAGGTGCTTAAAGAAAATCATTCATGCCAAATATGAACGGAAATCTCCTGCTTATGTTTTTCTGCATAGTTACTTAGACCTCCAGTGGTTGATACTATCGATAGTGTTTTTGGCATCCAAAAATGAAGAAGACATAAGAATTCAGCTTACAAACATATTTAAAGATTTAATAAAAATTTCTTATAGCAGTCACAATTTTTTTCACAGCAATTCGTATACTTTTGGATGTTTGTGTATTAAGAAAATGTGGCTGAAACTACAGTTATTTACTGAAAACTGCGGTATATCATTTTGGGATGTGTTAAATCCTGTTTTAAACTATGATGAAGAATTCTCCCTGTGGTTAATGTAAGTCTTTTAATTTAGCATGTATCAGAGTTAAAATATGATCTGTTTGATTCTAGTTTAAACATTGCTTCACTACAAGGAATAAACAAAGATATGGAATTTGTGGGAGCAAACAGTGATAGAATTAAACCTAATTTTCCAATTGTTGAATCTCAATTAAAATCATTTCTAAAAAAATCCATAGACAATAAGGAATTTCTCAAGTTATTAAAGCATGTAGATAATTTATTGAATTATTGGTGGATAAATCATGCCAAAATAGATTTGTATCAAATATTGTGGGATTATTTCAACAAGAAGTTAAATAGTTCCTTTACAAACGAAAAACCCTTTAAATGTATTCAAGCTTTCGTTAACTTTATTGACCAGTTAGTATCAGAAAAGGTAATTTTTCATGCAAATGCATATTTATTGCGAATCATGGATTTTAATCATTTGTATTTTTGTAGTTCCATTCATGTACAAGTTCATATGATTATTTTTTGCATATGTTAGCTAAACATTTACAAAATAATCCTAATCACTGGCCTCGAATAAAAGGGAGAATATATTCCCGATTGCCTTTGCATAAAATCAACGAATTTAATGAATTTGGATTGTACCACATAATAATATTGTTCCTTTCTCTTCATGAAAGTGTGAGTTTTGAAGAAATCACTTCAAAATTATTACAATTTTTAGAAAATGTCTCACCTGATCGTCGCAATTCTGCCTTAATTTGGAATACTTACTTAATGTTGATAATATTTCATGAGAGAAAGAAATTATCTTTGGAAACAGTAGCTCAACCATTGGTTCAACTTGCTGAATACTCTTCAAATAACAGAAGTCTGTATCATTTGCTCAAGCTTTATGTAGAGGGTATGAAGTATATATTTAATATAAATTACGGAAATTATCGAGGAAAAATTGTCCTCTTAAGCAGTTGGATGTATAAATACATGTTACACTGTAAACAAGAAGAACTAATCGTTTTATTGAACTTTTTATGCAATATGGTGCGCAAAATTCAGGAGTGTGACGAGTGGCAACCATGGGAAAATGTTTTTCAAATAAATGTCCTTCCAGGGCTCAGACAAATAGCTCTAACTCCAGACGTTCCTGTACAGGTAATTATTTTCAGTTTTGTATGTATTTGATAGCTCTTTTCCCGATCTTCAATTTTACTTTATCTTTTTATTTTTATGTGAAGGATTTTTGGTTTGTTTTTTGTTTCAATTCTCATTATATTTTATATTAATTTAGTAAATACCTTTTTATTCCTATTTAGGTTGGGGAGTTGGTTGCTTTGATATGCAAATACAGTAAAGATTTATCGAAAGAATATGTTCGCCAGTTTACTGAAGAAACGATTACACCAAGAATAACAATTCAGTTTATCAGTTTTTATTTAAACGAAAATAGTGACACGCAAATTTTGCCCAAAGATGAAGAAATATCAATATTACAGGCATGGATTCGATGCAGTCTTATAACGACCAATTCAAATACAAATTTATCTAGAAAGGTCTTAAGACTAAAGACATTTTCTTCCTGTGGTATTTCATCAAATTGCGATTCCTTACACTCGTTCATTAAAAGTTTAAGTCTGAATATCGTGCCTCATTCGAGTAATGCATCATTGAAAGAAGTTTGTGAGATTTGTTTCGGACATGCAGACACATGGATAGAAAAAATTATCAAGATGCCCACTTCTGAAGAGTTACTAGTACATATTTATGCCATGTTTGGAGTCCTGTTTTACCACTGCTCAGTTCTTCTTTATAATAAAGCAAAATCAAACTGTTTGTTGAGTCGTTTAACTAATACATTGCTTTTGCCAACTGATTTTCTCAAAGGAAAAGTCCCTCATAAACTTATTTACATTTTATAACATCAAAGTTAAAGACGATTTGAATCGCATATTTTACTCCAATGGCTTGTTTGATGTGCAACTCATTCAATTGAAAAACACAAAATGTTATAAAATGTANAATAATATTATTTTTTTTCTCAGGGAATATTCCAACTTGATTGTGGGAATGACCTATACCTGGAAAGACTAATGAAAGACTTAATTGTACGTTATTTACCCCATCTGCCAGTAAATTCTTCTCCAATATTTAAATGCATTGAAAATGAAAAACTTTGCGTCTTTATTTTTGAAAAAATTTGTACAGGATTTCTATCGCCAAATTGTAAATCAATGGAAACAAGTACCACAAAGGCTTTAAAGATAATTATGGCATCTCTGCAAAATTCTCCTACAAACAAAAACGTAAGTTACATTTAAATGAGATTTATTAAAAAGTAAGAAAATTGTAATAATGTTTTTTAGGTCATCATTATAATCCAAAAAACGCTTCCTTCAGTATTGGAAGTAATAATGTTTCATTCAAATAAAACAGTTGCATTGGAATTATTGAAAATGATAATCAGTTACAGCAACTTTTCTGGATTGCATGACCTTATAAAAAGCTCAATAGTATCACTCGTAGAAAAACATCTCGCCTTTAATGTAAATAACACATTCCAATTACTTTCCATATTGGTCAAATTTATTCCAACTGATGTTCAAGCAATTCTTCCCAATTTAAAAAAACAGGTGACCCTGGTTGAACAAATGAGAGGTGTAGGCTTCGATAATACCCTTAGGAGGAATCTTGACAATATAGAGCAGCTTCTTAGAAAGTAGTTCACTAAAACAAAACTTATGTAAGTAAATTTTTGTTTATACCTCCGTTTGAAGAAATAAAAAGCAACTTTATTCTCGCAATCTAAATGTTTAGGTAATGTTTTCACTGGCAATCAGTTTTATTTAAGGTACTTTTATGTACCATAGCCATTAATGATATTGTTTTTTAAGTAAAAAACGTACACATCATGTATTGCTTTTTATTTTTGTTAAAAAAGAAACAAACAGTAGACCGCCGTATGTCGTGAACAAATTAAATCCTCGGTTATAGAGACGAATGTCCATTGGCTTTTAATATCGATATCTTGTAGCTATCCTTTGTTGCTGTAAATTGCCGATATACTTGATACGTCCACAGTCTAATTACCTAAAGTGATGTTTTATTTGTAATTGGTACATTGTTTGTTGTTAGTGTTTATTAGTGGTTGTTATCTGCGTTCTGCATGTACAGCCTAATCGTAAGTAGTTTTCGTACATATCAATATTTAAGTGAAATGTCGCTTAAAAAATCAGTCTTAAGTCTTTATTATACAGACTAGTTTTTCCCCCCTATCAGTCACTGTGAGCTCGAAACTGTTAGCACCATTGCTTTGAGTGGTGGAAATTCACTTTTGTGAACGATTTGTTTAATCGCTTTGTGTTAAAAATTGTTTGAAAAACGTTTTGATTTGATTTGATTCTAATTGTTTATATTCGTGCGCTTTAAAGCATTAACATCAGTGAGCAATAGAGCAAGAATTGGACTTTACCCTGTGCTGAAACACTATTTTTTTATATATATAATTAAAAAAAGATTTTAGTTTTACGTTTATTCGTATTGTCAATAGTCGGCCATTATTATTGCTCCACTATGACGCAGTGTCGGCCATCATTATTTTCTAATTGTTGCTGTTGTCGGCCATCATTATTTTCTAATTGTTGCTGTTGTCGGCCATCATTCTTTTCTAATTATTGCTGTTGTCGGCCATCATTCTGTTTCAATTGTTGTCGCATTGTCACTGATGTCGACCATTATGGTTTTTTAATAGATGTATAGTAATCAATGATTAAAATTTAAAGGATTGCTTGTTTGCAACACACCATACACTTCAGCATAAGAAACAAATATCTAAATACTGTTACAAAATTTTATTTTACAGGAACATTTTAAAAACTGAAAGCCACAGGGCATTCGCTGTACCAGCCCTCCTTCACTCAAGAAAGTAGCTGTACTTAAAGTCTTAAAGGAAAGTGCCTGTTTTCTTTCATTTGGAACAGAGACAGCGTGTTGTTTTTAAAGGAAGGATTTAAGACAACAAACGGGTAAGTAACAAAATTAATTAAAAATAGCAAATGAGATCCTAGAAAGTTCAAGTTCTTAGACATTTCTAAAGCTCTTTCAATAGTTAAGTTTTAAACATTATTTCATAAGTGTCAAAAAACAGCAGCAGAATTAATATAGACCTTTATTCTTTCTGGCAGTGTGAAAGTTAACATAACACAAGAGATAAAGTATTTATTTTAAATTTTCTGTATATATTAACTTCAGTAAGAGTATAAAAAGTTAAGGAACAAGGAGTATTAAATCTTTGAATTATGAACATAAGAAATGTTTATTTTGATTAATAACTAATGGTACATTAATAACATGCACATCCATTACTTCTCCTTTCACCTGTCTATAACTGCGCCACTTTAAAATGCTATTATTTTATTCGCTTTAATATTGATAGCTAGATCACCATTAAAACGCCATTATTTATTTCCAAATTTCCTTTGTTTTTTGTATGTGTGAATTTTAGAACATTACAGTCTGCAGCTAACGAGGGTGAGAATATATAGTATATACATCTATAACTTCTTTTTGTAATGAAATGTCGAACTAATACTATTCCGTCAAATTTGTATGTATTGCTTAACTTAAATTTATTTAAATTTTTCCAAAAATACTTTTGGCGTTTATAGCGCCACTACATTTGTTGATTCTGTCAAGAAAATTCATAGACAACAAAAATTCAAAGAGAACATCCATTAAAATTTCTGCAAAAGTGAAGATCATAGTTATTATATCTTATGAATTTTATGCATTTTGTTCATCTTGCCATTTTGTATTAAAAGCGACGCCTCGTCACCATTGTTCAAGTTTGCAATTTTACTTTCCGGTGCTTATTTTCATTATATTTCGTGTATTAATTATTTTAAGGTGTAGTTTAATCGCTTTTCTTCTCAATTTTTACAGATTGACGATAAATTAAGAGTGGAAGAGNTAAAAAAAAATTAATAATGTCTTGCGGAAGTACATATCATATAACGAGCATTATCAAATTGTAATTAGGTTAATGTATTGATGATTATTGTTCACTGTGATATAGCGCGTATTTCTAGAAATCAAATGAATTAAGTCAGGGTTAATCGTATTAAAAAAATGATAAGTTTTAAAAAAGTATATAAAGACGAACATGTAATTTTTAAATAAATAATAACTTCCCCACCCTACTACTCCACTACATACTACTACTACTACTGTTAAGCGTGTAACAGATATTTTACAAGTACCTACCTACGTATAGGACCAAACAATAACATTTATCGTCACAATTAACACTTACTAAGTTATCTATTGCAAATGCACCGGTATATAATAATAACTAACTTTTACAACTCGAAATGCAGATCTGTACTTACATAGAAATTATAACGAAAACACTTGCTAAGTACTTTGTGTGTCTTAATTTTAATTTTATTCCACAACTTTTTCCGTCCAAGAGTATTTTTGACGGCGTCAGTAATCACGCCAAAAATTTACTGTACTAAGACATATTCAATTGTACGACGCCTCGTAGAATGTTCTACTGCCCAAATAAAGGAAAAAAATGTAATTTTAAACTATTAGCCAAACATTAGATATGGTAGATTGTTTCGGACAAATTTGGTGCAGCAAGTGCGTCATAAAACCACTTGTAGGTCTAATGACTACTTCTACAGTACTCGTGCCTATAACAAAAAAAATTGTGCAAATGTTGCCATTAAATCAGATGTAATCTAATTTGAATTAATCGTAATTAATACCAGTAGAAAACGCCTTAAGTTAGAAGAACTTTACTACAGTAGTATTCTCTTCCTGCGGTTTCGACTCCCGGTCGATACAATATCTTTTTTTCTTTTATATTATGTATTTGCAGTAAAATGATCAAATTTTGACCACACGCGATACTAGCAATATTTCATTTATCGTCATTTTTTTTATTTATGTCACAAAACTATTGTCCAGCAGTTAAAAGCATCCAGTAATGTAATTTTACAAAGTTTTCACCTTAGTAGGTACTTTGCATTTTTTTATTTATCGTTGTTAATCTTTAAGAAAATTCAATGAGTTTTCCTGAATTAACCGAATTTTCGCTTATAGTAAAGTTTCGAATTATTTAATTCTTCTTTTTATGATATTCTTAATATTAAAAAAGTCTAGATTTTAACAAAATTTTAATGGAAACGTTTACCTAATATTAAATCAGAACTGATTGTGCAGTTGCCTATTAACATAAAAATAATAGAGCAACAAAATCAGGCTATTATTTTAAATAAATAAATTATTGTTAATATTTTTTCATTGCTTCAAAAATATTTTATTCATTACGGCTTAAAATATTTGATTAACATTTTATTTAAAAACATAAAAAAAAATAAATGAAATTGAAGGAAAATAGGAGAAAATAAAAGTTGATGAGTTTTATGAGCATTTTCTGCACTAATTCGTACATGCACTGTCGAAATAAATATGTATAGTAGAACGTTTGCTTGATTATAGCTCTATAAATACCTAACTAAGGCTATCACCTAATAATTCGTGGTACTACAACCGCGTATAGATGAACCAGGGGCGCGAATGGCCCAGGGGCCAGCGGCCGGCTCGTTGGACCCCTGAAGCGGTCACCATTCGCAATATTACCACTACATTAAAAAAATTGATCGAAATTCGAATGCTAATAATAAAAAGAAAAATAATTATTATTATTACTGTGTAAACGATAATCAATAAAAAATCGAGAGGGAACGAACATATACGAATACGCAGTGATTTATATTTCGTTGTAAGATAAAAAAAAGAACGTAAAAGAAAAGGTTTCGAAAAATGCGGGAAACGGTACTTGTGTACTTGTTAATGTTATCGTTGTTTAATTTGCGGGGGCTCTGCTTTGCGAATGCTCAGCCCCACTCTCACACCAAATCTGTGCGTTTGACGCCGCTCATTGTCATTTATTTGTGAATCAGTATGAATCTAGTCATGTTTGTTACAATTTAAAATATTTTATAAATGTTGATTAATATACGACATTCCTATTTCAACTTCTTTTTTTTTTCGTCATTTCCCTGATAACTTTATCCTATTGACGATAGTATTTAAATGGCAAATCAAATGTAATCATGATTTAATCCATCTTGATGCTCAAGTATAAAGTGTAACTGGTTATATTAAACATGGCGGACTTGAGACACCATATTATGACAAATCCCTTGAGTAGAGCATCAAAGAATAAATATTAAATTAAAATTTCATTAATTTTATATTTAAGTATACAAGCCGAATTAATTATATCGAAAGAATATTCATTTACAATTTAAATACAACTACTTTTAACTGTTATGGAGACATTTTCTTTACGTACAGGTTTGATAACCACTTCCAATATTAGATGTTTTAAGTTTATCTATGGTTTTAGGTTAAATATTATACCGGTAAGTGTTGTGTAAAAAGTGTTTGTTTTATTATATTAATTTAGTGTTAAGTGTATAAAAACTGTATAATCATGCCTGCTTGGGATTCTTTCGAGTGCCTTAACTGTGATACATTTTATAACATCAAAGTTAAAGACGATTTGAATCGCATATTTTACTCCAATGGCTTGTTTGATGTGCAACTCATTCAATTGAAAAACACAAAATGTTATAACAATTTACTTTACCTTGAAGTCGAGCTTTTTATGAAACTAGTTGTTAAAGCATGGAAACAGATCGAAGAGGTGATTTTTTCGGACTACATTTCCCCAGTGTCTCAAACTATGAACTTGCGCGGAGAAATAGTAAACATACTGTTAAGTTTTCAAGAATGTTTGCTCATAAACAGATATGAAAACAATTTTTTGGAAATACAAGACCAACTTTACAAATCGCTTAATTTAATTAAAAAGTCTGTATTTCCTATTCACAAACTAAATGAAAGGTGCTTAAAGAAAATCATTCATGCCAAATATGAACGGAAATCTCCTGCTTATGTTTTTCTGCATAGTTACTTAGACCTCCAGTGGTTGATACTATCGATAGTGTTTTTGGCATCCAAAAATGAAGAAGACATAAGAATTCAGCTTACAAACATATTTAAAGATTTAATAAAAATTTCTTATAGCAGTCACAATTTTTTTCACAGCAATTCGTATACTTTTGGATGTTTGTGTATTAAGAAAATGTGGCTGAAACTACAGTTATTTACTGAAAACTGCGGTATATCATTTTGGGATGTGTTAAATCCTGTTTTAAACTATGATGAAGAATTCTCCCTGTGGTTAATGTAAGTCTTTTAATTTAGCATGTATCAGAGTTAAAATATGATCTGTTTGATTCTAGTTTAAACATTGCTTCACTACAAGGAATAAACAAAGATATGGAATTTGTGGGAGCAAACAGTGATAGAATTAAACCTAATTTTCCAATTGTTGAATCTCAATTAAAATCATTTCTAAAAAAATCCATAGACAATAAGGAATTTCTCAAGTTATTAAAGCATGTAGATAATTTATTGAATTATTGGTGGATAAATCATGCCAAAATAGATTTGTATCAAATATTGTGGGATTATTTCAACAAGAAGTTAAATAGTTCCTTTACAAACGAAAAACCCTTTAAATGTATTCAAGCTTTCGTTAACTTTATTGACCAGTTAGTATCAGAAAAGGTAATTTTTCATGCAAATGCATATTTATTGCGAATCATGGATTTTAATCATTTGTATTTTTGTAGTTCCATTCATGTACAAGTTCATATGATTATTTTTTGCATATGTTAGCTAAACATTTACAAAATAATCCTAATCACTGGCCTCGAATAAAAGGGAGAATATATTCCCGATTGCCTTTGCATAAAATCAACGAATTTAATGAATTTGGATTGTACCACATAATAATATTGTTCCTTTCTCTTCATGAAAGTGTGAGTTTTGAAGAAATCACTTCAAAATTATTACAATTTTTAGAAAATGTCTCACCTGATCGTCGCAATTCTGCCTTAATTTGGAATACTTACTTAATGTTGATAATATTTCATGAGAGAAAGAAATTATCTTTGGAAACAGTAGCTCAACCATTGGTTCAACTTGCTGAATACTCTTCAAATAACAGAAGTCTGTATCATTTGCTCAAGCTTTATGTAGAGGGTATGAAGTATATATTTAATATAAATTACGGAAATTATCGAGGAAAAATTGTCCTCTTAAGCAGTTGGATGTATAAATACATGTTACACTGTAAACAAGAAGAACTAATCGTTTTATTGAACTTTTTATGCAATATGGTGCGCAAAATTCAGGAGTGTGACGAGTGGCAACCATGGGAAAATGTTTTTCAAATAAATGTCCTTCCAGGGCTCAGACAAATAGCTCTAACTCCAGACGTTCCTGTACAGGTAATTATTTTCAGTTTTGTATGTATTTGATAGCTCTTTTCCCGATCTTCAATTTTACTTTATCTTTTTATTTTTATGTGAAGGATTTTTGGTTTGTTTTTTGTTTCAATTCTCATTATATTTTATATTAATTTAGTAAATACCTTTTTATTCCTATTTAGGTTGGGGAGTTGGTTGCTTTGATATGCAAATACAGTAAAGATTTATCGAAAGAATATGTTCGCCAGTTTACTGAAGAAACGATTACACCAAGAATAACAATTCAGTTTATCAGTTTTTATTTAAACGAAAATAGTGACACGCAAATTTTGCCCAAAGATGAAGAAATATCAATATTACAGGCATGGATTCGATGCAGTCTTATAACGACCAATTCAAATACAAATTTATCTAGAAAGGTCTTAAGACTAAAGACATTTTCTTCCTGTGGTATTTCATCAAATTGCGATTCCTTACACTCGTTCATTAAAAGTTTAAGTCTGAATATCGTGCCTCATTCGAGTAATGCATCATTGAAAGAAGTTTGTGAGATTTGTTTCGGACATGCAGACACATGGATAGAAAAAATTATCAAGATGCCCACTTCTGAAGAGTTACTAGTACATATTTATGCCATGTTTGGAGTCCTGTTTTACCACTGCTCAGTTCTTCTTTATAATAAAGCAAAATCAAACTGTTTGTTGAGTCGTTTAACTAATACATTGCTTTTGCCAACTGATTTTCTCAAAGGAAAAGTCCCTCATAATTTTATTTTGAATGCGCTTCAAAGAACATGGCACTTATTTGTACAGGTAGTTTAAATCAATAAAATTGAATCCTTAATAGTTTTTATAAACCTGTATTAAATTAATAATATTATTTTTTTTCTCAGGGAATATTCCAACTTGATTGTGGGAATGACCTATACCTGGAAAGACTAATGAAAGACTTAATTGTACGTTATTTACCCCATCTGCCAGTAAATTCTTCTCCAATATTTAAATGCATTGAAAATGAAAAACTTTGCGTCTTTATTTTTGAAAAAATTTGTACAGGATTTCTATCGCCAAATTGTAAATCAATGGAAACAAGTACCACAAAGGCTTTAAAGATAATTATGGCATCTCTGCAAAATTCTCCTACAAACAAAAACGTAAGTTACATTTAAATGAGATTTATTAAAAAGTAAGAAAATTGTAATAATGTTTTTTAGGTCATCATTATAATCCAAAAAACGCTTCCTTCAGTATTGGAAGTAATAATGTTTCATTCAAATAAAACAGTTGCATTGGAATTATTGAAAATGATAATCAGTTACAGCAACTTTTCTGGATTGCATGACCTTATAAAAAGCTCAATAGTATCACTCGTAGAAAAACATCTCGCCTTTAATGTAAATAACACATTCCAATTACTTTCCATATTGGTCAAATTTATTCCAACTGATGTTCAAGCAATTCTTCCCAATTTAAAAAAACAGGTGACCCTGGTTGAACAAATGAGAGGTGTAGGCTTCGATAATACCCTTAGGAGGAATCTTGACAATATAGAGCAGCTTCTTAGAAAGTAGTTCACTAAAACAAAACTTATGTAAGTAAATTTTTGTTTATACCTCCGTTTGAAGAAATAAAAAGCAACTTTATTCTCGCAATCTAAATGTTTAGGTAATGTTTTCACTGGCAATCAGTTTTATTTAAGGTACTTTTATGTACCATAGCCATTAATGATATTGTTTTTTAAGTAAAAAACGTACACATCATGTATTGCTTTTTATTTTTGTTAAAAAAGAAACAAACAGTAGACCGCCGTATGTCGTGAACAAATTAAATCCTCGGTTATAGAGACGAATGTCCATTGGCTTTTAATATCGATATCTTGTAGCTATCCTTTGTTGCTGTAAATTGCCGATATACTTGATACGTCCACAGTCTAATTACCTAAAGTGATGTTTTATTTGTAATTGGTACATTGTTTGTTGTTAGTGTTTATTAGTGGTTGTTATCTGCGTTCTGCATGTACAGCCTAATCGTAAGTAGTTTTCGTACATATCAATATTTAAGTGAAATGTCGCTTAAAAAATCAGTCTTAAGTCTTTATTATACAGACTAGTTTTTCCCCCCTATCAGTCACTGTGAGCTCGAAACTGTTAGCACCATTGCTTTGAGTGGTGGAAATTCACTTTTGTGAACGATTTGTTTAATCGCTTTGTGTTAAAAATTGTTTGAAAAACGTTTTGATTTGATTTGATTCTAATTGTTTATATTCGTGCGCTTTAAAGCATTAACATCAGTGAGCAATAGAGCAAGAATTGGACTTTACCCTGTGCTGAAACACTATTTTTTTATATATATAATTAAAAAAAGATTTTAGTTTTACGTTTATTCGTATTGTCAATAGTCGGCCATTATTATTGCTCCACTATGACGCAGTGTCGGCCATCATTATTTTCTAATTGTTGCTGTTGTCGGCCATCATTATTTTCTAATTGTTGCTGTTGTCGGCCATCATTCTTTTCTAATTATTGCTGTNCATGCAAGATAAAGAACTATTTCAACTACGGGGTCATCTTTGTCTTCTCCAGCGTCGATCTGAAACAGATACGGTGGTAATAGATTAATAAAGAGCAATTAAAATTAACTATTATCAAGTTTCTCACCTTAATTAACTGTAGACTGCAACCTCTCAATGTTTGCAGGTGTAAAAAGCAAACCAAATCCAGAATACCACGGCAGAAAGTCTGTTGTTCAAATAAGTTTCCAGTTGCTTCCACTTATCGGTTGAAAATTAACTGCATACGTTGCGAGGTGAAGACAAAAATAGCAAATCAAGACTAAGTCCAGAAAAGACAACACCCATGTAGACATGGCCGTTTCAGTACAGCTAAACTGAACTCATTTGTTCGATAATCTGCAGAGATGGACAAAAAAATATATTAATTACAATATTAAGTAAGGAAAGAATTAAACACACCTAAAAATAAGCACCAAAAAGCAAGTAAAATTGTGGAGTCATAATAAAAAGGCGACAAACGTCATTTTACACCATGACCATAGATCATGACATAAATATGGATAATCATAGATGCACGATAATACGTCAATTAATACTCTCAACAGATATTAAAAAAAAAAAAAATGAAATACCGTAGATACACGTTAACCTCAATTTATACTAAACAAAAGATAATTGGTTATTAGTAAGACATAGAGAGCAACTAATATGATGTAATGCATTCTCACCTTAATTAACTGCAGGAAGGAGTATTTTGTTGTTGAAGTTTAATGGGCAAGCCAAATCCAAGAGGAAAACCACTGCAGACAACCTGTTGTTTCAGTCCTTTCCAAATTAATTTCCAGTTGCCTCTTCCCCGAAAATTCAAAATTAACTCCATAATGTTGCAAAGTGAAGACATCAGAAGTATATATTACTTCAGTAGCATCAAAATTAACTGCAATTCCTTCTCTTTTATTGTATAATCTATAGAGACGGGCAAGAAAAAGTAATTAATTACCACTTTCAAAGCAAGTAAATCTATAACATTCACACTGATGGAAACATTAGTTCCACATCAATTCTGTTGTTCTGATTCTGCCATTTCTGAAAAGTTGTCAAGTTGTCTAATGAAAGTAACACAAATCTAATTGAAGTTTCTGAGACCTCATTCAATATTTTTAATTGATATTGTTACTTACCAGTTCATTCATTGTCATAAATCCTTCCTTTAGCAATGCCACACTGTCCCCATTCCAAATGAAACAAATGCACTATCATGCTTTCTTTGAGACTGTAGGTACAGCTATTTTCTGGAGTGAATGTCCCTGTAAAATGAAATCTTATTGATAAGTATTCATTAAATGAACGCTCTTCCACTCTTAATTTATCGTCAATCTGTAAAAATTGAGAAGAAAAGCGATTAAACTACACCTTAAAATGATTAGATCTTGTAGTTAATTTAGGTGAGCATACAGACTAAAATAGATATTTATTTGCCACAATTACATATCTAGTAATATTATATTTATGTGATATTAACTTTAGAGAACCTACATTTATGTGAATACTTATCAATAAGATTTCATTTTACAGGAACATTCACTCCAGAAAATAGCTGTACCTACAGTCTCAAAGAAAGCATGATAGTGCATTTGTTTCATTTGGAATGGGGACAGTGTGGCATTGCTAAAGGAAGGATTTATGACAATGAATGAACTGGTAAGTAACAATATCAATTAAAAATATTGAATGAGGTCTCAGAAACTTCAATTAGATTTGTGTTACTTTCATTAGACAACTTGACAACTTTTCAGAAATGGCAGAATCAGAACAACAGAATTGATGTGGAACTAATGTTTCCATCAGTGTGAATGTTATAGATTTACTTGCTTTGAAAGTGGTAATTAATTACTTTTTCTTGCCCGTCTCTATAGATTATACAATAAAAGAGAAGGAATTGCAGTTAATTTTGATGCTACTGAAGTAATATATACTTCTGATGTCTTCACTTTGCAACATTATGGAGTTAATTTTGAATTTTCGGGGAAGAGGCAACTGGAAATTAATTTGGAAAGGACTGAAACAACAGGTTGTCTGCAGTGGTTTTCCTCTTGGATTTGGCTTGCCCATTAAACTTCAACAACAAAATACTCCTTCCTGCAGTTAATTAAGGTGAGAATGCATTACATCATATTAGTTGCTCTCTATGTCTTACTAATAACCAATTATCTTTTGTTTAGTATAAATTGAGGTTAACGTGTATCTACGGTATTTCATTTTTTTTTTTTTTAATATCTGTTGAGAGTATTAATTGACGTATTATCGTGCATCTATGATTATCCATATTTATGTCATGATCTATGGTCATGGTGTAAAATGACGTTTGTCGCCTTTTTATTATGACTCCACAATTTTACTTGCTTTTTGGTGCTTATTTTTAGGTGTGTTTAATTCTTTCCTTACTTAATATTGTAATTAATATATTTTTTTGTCCATCTCTGCAGATTATCGAACAAATGAGTTCAGTTTAGCTGTACTGAAACGGCCATGTCTACATGGGTGTTGTCTTTTCTGGACTTAGTCTTGATTTGCTATTTTTGTCTTCACCTCGCAACGTATGCAGTTAATTTTCAACCGATAAGTGGAAGCAACTGGAAACTTATTTGAACAACAGACTTTCTGCCGTGGTATTCTGGATTTGGTTTGCTTTTTACACCTGCAAACATTGAGAGGTTGCAGTCTACAGTTAATTAAGGTGAGAAACTTGATAATAGTTAATTTTAATTGCTCTTTATTAATCTATTACCACCGTATCTGTTTCAGATCGACGCTGGAGAAGACAAAGATGACCCCGTAGTTGAAATAGTTCTTTATCTTGCATGCTCCATCTAGTAAAATTCATTAAGTTGATTTTATTCAAATTAATTTTTTATTTTGCATGTTTTTTTGTAGTTATTTGTAGTTAATTTGAATTAGTTTTTATTTTGCATGCTTATTTTTGTTCACTTTATTTGAAGTAATTGTTGATTGTAGATGTTTTTATTTTTTTTGTATGTAGTAGTAGTGTAGTAGTAGAAATAACACGTTTAGTAGTTGTAGTATAGTCTAACGTTGCTTACCTCTTCGCTTAGCTTACTGCATATTCTTCCTAATTTGCTTTGCATTTACCCTACGAATTCTACATGATTCAACGTTTCGTTATCGTGTTTGTTTCTTCTCACCCTTGTGGAATTAGGGAGGGCCTCCCCGAACGACTTCCCTTGGGCTTAGCTATTTAGTTGATCTTAAAAGTGTCTTATACACTTTTCGCGAGTCTACTCTAGCGTTACTTCCTTTCAGACAGGGTACAGTGGGTTATCTGGAATAGGAGCAATAGGCGACTGCCCAGCTTGCCTTGGCGAAATCTGTCCGATCTTCTCTACCAAAGCTATTAGTATTTGTCGTTAGTCCTTGTAATTGCACTATTCGCTTTCAG